GTGTGTGTGTGCATTTATATCATGGAGTTTTTAATTAATATATTTAAATAAAATAATTTTTTATTTGAAGCAAATAAAAATTTAAAATATGTAGTTTTTAACTTTACATCATATTTATTTTATTTTATTTATTTAAATTGTTTCTATAAATAAAATTCCATTTTGTTATTAAAATTTAAAATAGAAAAATAGCAAAATAAATTCTTTTGCATACTACGAAATAATTTCTGTTCATTTTAAATTGAAAATTTTTAATGTAAATTTTGTCATTCGAGATTACAATTTTTCGATACTTCTTCGTCAAATTTAAATTTTAGATGTATTCAGACTGAATAATTTCAAAACAAAACAAACTGCAGAAAATTTGCGAACATTCGAATAAATGTTTTATTTGGTCTATATTTATGACATTTTGTAAATATCATGTTGTACATACATTGTTTCCCGTTACCCGTTACAATATACTACAAACATGTTGCACACGTTCGTAACCGAATGTGGCTTTCCAGCTCGCCAGTCACAATCGATTTTGCGAAATTTACGCGTTCCCGCAAAAGCGAGACGCAAAACTGATATTCATCTCTCAACGCGACGCTGAGCGATACCAGTTTTGGCACCGCATCCAGAACTGGTCCAGATTGAAATCGTCAGTAGGCAAGACAATCTCGCTTCGAAGATTATAACTTGCGATGAAAATGTCAGTATTGAAAATGTCAGAGTCGCTTAGCGTAAATTTAATGTGCTGACCAACATGACTTTGATTTCGCGCTAAATACAATATAATATTGTAATGATATTGTCACGATAATCTGTTAATATTTTGATCATTATATTACATGTACATATAAATGATAATTTAATAATAAAATTAGATTTAATAATAAAATTAGATTTGAAATCAAATTTAAAATGTAATCATATGTTTATTGAATTTGTTTTCTTTTTATTCGCGCTTACGTTGGTCAAATGAATAATGTAAAAAATATATATAATTTTCTTTTTAAAACTAACATTTTGCCACGTCGAAGCCTCAACGATTTCTTTAACATTTGCAAACACAGTAGATTCGAAAACGACATGAAATTTCCATTTTATTCCGTTCACATTTTTCTATTGTCACTAAATGTCTAGCACTTTGCATTTATTTACATCACTATCACAAAACTAAAAGTTTTATGGTACGATTTAAATCCAGATTACGAAAGTCTAAATTTTATTTTTAAATTTAAATTATCGTTAACTGACTTTTTAATCAACCATATGAAGCTCTTATTCAAAAAATCTTTAATTAATAGTACTGGAAACTGTTCATTAGAGCAAAAGATTTATTTTATCATTTATAAAAATATCAAAGCATTAATAAATAATTATTAAAATATCAAATTGGACAAACGTTATTTCAAAAGTTTAATATTTAAAGAACTTATTAATGGATTGTATGTCTGTGTCAGATTTTACTTTGATATTTATTGCTAAATAAATGTTGCTTAAATTGGAATCCAGCTATTTATGCAACTTTATTAAAAATCAATCAATACTTAATCATCAAATCTTTCGAATTTTTATAAACTTATTAAATTAAAATAGAATTAAAATTAAAAGAGTGCTAATATTTCGATTATTAAATCACAATTTTATGATTTGACGTTTCGATGATTTCTTTGGCAGCTAATATAGCAAATTCGAGAACAACGCAAAATTTCCATTTATTCTGCGTTCGCATTTCCCGTTGGCGTTTATAAACGGGGTGTCCGTCGGTGGTGTATTCGAAGTGCGACGGAGTGACGTGTATGCACGAAGCGCGACGTGGTCCACGTTATTATATAAAGAGCGAACACGCGACGTACCATGGATACGTAATTTATGAAAATACAGAAAACTTTGCAGCAAGGTCGCGCAAAATGCGAGCCGAGAGCCACATCGATCGAACACGGAAAACTATAAAACGAAGATAGCATCGCTCAGGACAAAAATAACTGTAGAAAAGTGTTGTTTTTATTAGCAATCAGTCTCTTGAGTTTGTGATTCAATTTTACTTTGATAAAACGATAGATCATATTTTCTGAATAAAATTGAAATTTATGAAATATGAAATTACATAATTCTGAAGCAACGAAATAGTTGTGTAAATGTGTATTACTAATATTATATTATTATTATTATTATTATTATTATTATTATATTAAAATTTTGTTGAAAAAAAAGAGATTTAAAGCTTGTAATGACGCACAATACGAGAACAAATAGTGAAGCATTATTTCGGAATACCTTTTTCCTTTTTTTCTCTCCCTCTTGAAAAGTACATTTGTTGTTAGTTCACTCGTTTCTACCTTCTTTCGCGCCTTTTACCCTAATTGGACATTTAAGAACAGCACGAAGCTTTCGGGAGCATCTTTTGGATAGAACCGGAATTCTTTTGAAAGAAACTAATGGCAAGTTCTCTCTCCTTTCTTTCTTTTTATTGTTCTAAATATAAAAATTTCTTGAAGATTTAAGAGCCATGTATCGCCCAATCATTTTAACAACCCGCTAACAACTTCGCTATATATCTTTATATTAAATTATTTGGCAACGGATAAAACAGCATTTGAAAAAACAGCTAATATAACAAACGAGCGATATTTCAAATGTACGTCTCATTCGTGAAATTATATTGTTTACATAATATAGCAGAAAAAAAAATGTAAGTCATATTCCGCGTATAACAAGATATTTAGGATTGAACAAATTTAGGCGATTTAGCGATTTTTCTATAATAAAATATTGATTTATACTCTTTTTTTTTCTACGTTTATATAATACATGATAATGAATTTATTTTGTCAATTTCTAGTTTCTATATTACATTGTACTATATTACATTGTAACTAGTGAAAAAAAGAATTTATTAATGATAAATGGTATTAAAAAATAATAAGAATATAATTTCTTGTCATGTATTTATATATTAATTAATATATTAATATATTAATATATTAATTAAAAGTTTATATAAAAATAAGAATATATTGGATGAAGATATTAATTTTCTAAAGATTTTAATTAATCGGGATCTAAAATTTCATTCATAATAATTACAAGACATAAAAAAACGACTCACCGGTACAACATGCGCTCCTGACGATCGGCTTCGCGATAAATCTTGTAGTACATCGCGATCATGATTATTCCTGGTACCCAGAAGCTCACACTGGAACTGACGACAGCATAGAACTTGTTGACTTGAAACACACACACATCCGGATAGTTTCTTCTGTACTCGAGATGTTCGTTCGTAGTATACCATCCTGCGAAGATCGGTAGGAAGCTCATAACAGTCGGGAAACACCACACGACGCTCAACATGGTTCCCAATCTCACGTTTGTCATGATTAACGGATAGTCCAATGGTTGGACGATTGCGTAATATCTATCGACGCTGATGCAGCAAAGGTGAAGGATGCTGACAGTGCTGAAGAAAACATCCAACGAATTCCACACATCGCACATGAAATACCCGAATAACCAGCGTCCAAAAAGTTCCACGGAAGCGTTGAACGTCATGGCGAACAACGCCACTAACATGTCTGCCAAGGCCAGCGAAACCACGAAGTAATTGGTGATTACCCGGAGTTTGCGGTGTCTCATAACAGAGACAATGACCAATAAATTGCCGAGGAGAGCACAAAGGATGATGAATATCATAATGAAAGCTTTTAAAGTTAACAAGAGAACATATTCGATATCGTGATGATTTTTGCTGATGTTTCGCTGGCTGGTGTCGAGAAGAAAAGTGCTTAGTAGATTCGCAGTGTTGTTCAGATCCGTCTCGTTAAAACCCATCTTGAGGAACTGAAGTTTTTCTCACGTTTCAACTAGCGATCGTCTTTCGATGACTTTTCTCTCGGCTTCTTCCTTATAGCTAATGTGCAATCGATCCATTTATAAAAGTCAAGTTATAGTTTCGCCTAGGCGATGTTGTAGATCGCGAAGTTCTTAATTTGCGTCAAGATGATTTATTTAGAGTGTTTTTGTGACTCACTTCTCAATAAAATCCAAAATAAGAAAATTAGACGAAAATATATCTCGGAAAATAAGCTTCATTGAGCTACTTGGATAAATTGGTACTTGAGCTTCTAGATATTTCGTATACTTGAGTTTTCTTGAGCTAATGATTGTCCGCTTATATGAGTTCTTGTGAACATAAATCATAATTGCAGATTTCTTTTCTTATATTTTGTTGCTATTATTATTTTATACAATTGTAGTTGTAATTTTTTCCGAATTTCGACATCCAAACGAGATTTTCATGCAGCATATTTTTCATAGATTTTAAAGTATCTTCATACAATGATAACCTGTGAACAAAATATGTGCACAAATATACATAAAAAGCGAAATAAATAATGTAACAATTTTAAACGTATGCAAGAGTCTTATATATTTACAAATCTTGTATATCTATAGTCGTATATCTTAATTTATATAAAAAAATTATTTATTTATGTTCGCAAAATACATCGCAATGCAAAATGATTTAAATTAGTAGTTTGAAATTAAAATGTACGTAGATTAATAATATAACATTATTATGTACAATAATATAATATGTATAACACTGATTTTGTACAAGATATATAGTGGATTTTCTTACTTTTTATATATGAATTTTAAAAATAATCTCAAAAATTATCTATAACATTTAAAAGTAATTTTATTGAAATTTGATGAATATTTCAAATTGGCTAGAAATGACTTAGTTATTTCAGTGATTTTCAATTTTGATAATTGATTGTTAAGAAAAACTCATTTTTGCTTGTTCTATTTAGCGCGTTAATATCTTTAACAAAGTTAGTTAATTAAAAATTAATTGTCATCTCTATTGTTAAAGAAAGCAATTCTATTTATTTCATACAACAATAACATATTAAACATAATTAAAATTAATTAACATTTATCTATTACCTACTCATAGAAGCATGACATTTTAGTGATATTTTGATGAAAACATGTTCTTCGTTTTTATTCCTTACAGTAATATAACTCTTCATCAAAGTTGGTTAATTAAAAATTGGTGAAATGTTGGAAATTCCAATAGTTTCATTGTTGAAAGAACCGTTTCACGTCGCCACGTTCCCATTTATTCGGGCAATAATATAGTTTTTTTTAAGACTAATTAAAAGTTAATCAATATTTATAAAGCCTGATATTTATAACCTCATAATACTGTTATTAAAATTTCATGCTTATTCTCTTTGATATATCATAATAATATAACTTTATTAAAGTCGATTTTTTAATATAATTAGTAAACGATGTCATTATTAAAATAAATATTTATATACATAATTAAGTGATATAATTTTATTAATTACAATTTAATTATTAATTGAGGATTTTAATTCAAATTTTATTAATTTATATTTATTTAATATCTAAAAAGATAAAAGTAAAAATAAGAATAAAGAAGTAACAATAAGAATTTCATCAATATACTAAATTAATTTTACAAGTTCAGTTAAAAGTAATGATGTTTGAATTTTAACATTTCGCGATCTAATTAAAATTAAAATTTGTAATATTTGAATTGTATTTAGGATTTAACTAACGTAAATACACTAGTGTATTTGCACTAAATAAGTTCTTTCATCGTAAATATTTCAAATAATTTGAATTATTTACAGTCCATGTATTTAAATATATTCCGGCAATGTACGAACATATAATCTGCATTAAAAGGCCGTTGATTTACCGCAGGAATATGTTTGTATGTTCTGTCGAAATTGGATTCACACGAGGATTCGCGCGAGGCGCACGCAGATAACAAGTCGTGACAATACGATCTAATGCTAAAGCTATATATGTATGTCGATCATAATAGAAACAAACATAAATTAACACGCGGCCGAACATACTAGTCGTAGAACGCCTAAATGCTGTTTAAAAATTTGAAATTCTCACAATTTAAAATTTAATCGTTACGTCATTCCGTGGAAATTTAAAATACTATAAACAATATATAAATAAATAAACGCTTTGTATTTATATAATAAATAAATATTTTAAAGATAAATAACGATAGAAAACATAATGTTCAATAAATGATACGATAAATAGAAATATCGAAAATCATCTATTTGTCATTTGTCATCTGTTATCATTTTATTTATGTAATACGATGATAATAATTATTGTAAAGATATAGTCTTCTTACTAACGTCAACATGTCTTCGGAATATAGTATATATTTCAAAAATATAGTTCTAAATATAAAGTCGTTCGTTTTAGTTGCACTCTCCATTACCTATACTTCCACAGTTATACTCGTCTATGTCATTTTATATGCAGAAGGTACAGGAAAGCATCTAAAACGAACGATTCCTACGACCAAACGCGAGAAAATCCTTTTATTGCGACGAATCAGATTGAAATATGTAGGATGGAATATACATTATTGACGTTTCTTGCAACGCCACATTAAGAAATTTACCTCTCTAAGGAGTTCCAATTCTACCGGTTGTTCTATCTATTTCGGTACAGGCCAGATTAAAATCGGACGCAATATTTATTTGCGACTGTAACATGAAATATTTCTCTCGATATTTATAGATCTATCCGATACAGTGTCCTAGATCTGTGATGAATTTTCATCTACAAATTTTTTAAACAAATTGTTAACTTGTTCATAATAGGTATGTTAGAAATGATATTATATCATATTAAATATTTTTTAATCTGTATTCTAATTTAAAATGTATTTTTAATTTATCTTTTAAAATTCAATTTTTAAAAAATCATTACAATTAAAGAATTAATAAATAAATTTTTACAGTAAAGGTTGGAGGAAGCATCTCTTTTCTTAATATTTATCTAAACAAAATGTATGATGAATGATAAATCAAATTATTTAATTATATATAATTATTTAATCAAATAATATATATTCTTGTCAAGTATTTTATACGAATGAGGGAGAATGGAAAAATTGCAAACACGGATGCAAATGCGAACGATACTATTGCAACACATTAAAGTAGTGATAATCACTTACTTCACGCATCCAGTGATAGTCCGCGCTTATTGCCGTACTATAACACATAACTGTGGAACGCACAAGCTGTTTAAGATAATTACTATTACATATTTTCGATGTTTTTAATGCAAAAGAGAGGGGGGGGGATTGCAAATATCTATAAAAAGAAAAGATAAATAAAACCAATGATTATTTATCAATTATGGAAATCTTTTATTCACAGAATATTCTCCCAATTTCCTCTTTCATACATCTAAAATATCAGAAATTTGTAATATGGTAATTATCTTAAATGGTTACGTTCTATAGCCATATGTTATAGTGACACAAATTGTAAACATATATCGGACTATCATTGAATGCGAGAAGTAAAATAAATTGTGTTCGTGCGTATGTGCGTGTGCGTGCGTGCGTGCGTGCGTGCATGCGTGCGTGCGTGCGTGCGTGCATGCGTGCGTGCGTGCGTGCGTGTGTAGGGTTATTATTCTATACTGCAATAGTATACGTTCGCAATTGTTCATTTTCTTTTACTCATATAAAACATTTGATAATAATATATTTTTTTTAATTAAAAATAATTATACATATTATTTGATTAAATAATTATACATATATCATAAATTATTTAATTACCATATTATTTATTATATTCATTATATATTATCAGTAAAATTACAATTTAAAAAATAAAAACTAGATTGGGTATTACTCCGCGTGGCAATGGGTAAATCCAAATAGCAAAAAATTCTGTTTTTTATTTAAAATTATAAACCCGTATTCAAAGCACGCTTTTGCGATGTTAGCGTGTATTTATTTAGCGTATAATTCTCACATTGTATATACCATAGAATTTCAAACATAAAAACGCGTTCTAACAGGCTATAATATGCATCTGCTGATAACATATAAACGTTAATTATTATAGTTTAAAGTCAAATAAATAGAGTCTCTTTTGAATAAAAACTCTGTATTTAACTCTTTTTTCTTGTATTTACAGTTTTCCTATCTTCCCCTACTTTCTTAGATTATATGCTAGATTGATTTTTTTCTTGTTTACAAAAATGATAAGAAGAATGCTAATATGTTTTTAAAAAACTTTCACTATAAACTTTTACATTGCTTAAAAATAAAATTACAGACTTCTGGGTTCTGAAATTGAATGGAATGATCTGTGTGAAAATATGTATATATAAATATGTACATATAAATATGTATAAAATTTTCATTTTACATTTGCAATGTATGGTCGAACTAATCGTAATCGTGAAATGTGCAAATTTCGCCGCTGAAATTCCAGAATTGTCCTGAAAAATTCAACGACAGTCAACGACAATCTCGATGAAAAAAAAAAAAAAGAGAAAAAAGGTTTCACGAAGTTGTATGCAGACACTCGCTTCATCGCGTGATGATGAAAATTTCGCGATGTAATAGTGGAAAAATTGATTTGCAAATAATTTTTCTCAAGTGAAAAAAATCGCTTGGCTTGTTATTAGCTCGATTAATAATTTCCCGGAACATGAAATGTGTAATTTAATCGTTATCATAAAGTAATTACCTCAATCATGATCGTTTGAATACAATTTACATTGCACTTTTTTTTTACAATCATATCTTGCCGATTATTAATATTATATTATACATTTCTAAAATTGTACGAATTATATTTACCTAATTATAATATCTTTTTTTATTATCATTGCTTTTTTTATTTTAGTACATTTATATTATGTATTAGATGTAAATATTTTATATATTCTTCATTAAATTATGTTTATATACACGTATACAATATTTTAATTTTTAATTTTAT